AGAAAGGATATAGAGATGGCAAGTGAGCCCATGAAAAAATGTTCAACATCGTTCGTCTTCAGGGAAATGCAAATTAAAACAACAATGGGCTGCTACTAGACATCTATTAGAAAGTCTGAAATTAAAAAGGCTGACCATACCAAGTGTCAGCAGGATCCAGGAAACTGGATCCCTCGTACGTTGCTGGTGGTAACAGAAAATGGGATATATTAGCCCCTCTAGAAAAGAGTTGCAGTTTCTTCTAATGTTAAAATGCACTGACCACATGACACAGCTGTCGTGCTCTGGGCATTTATTCCAGAGAAATGAAAACCTATATTTGTGCAAAAACCTGTACGTGAATGCTCATAGTAGCTTTATTTGGAATAGTCAAAAACAGGAAAGCAACCTAGATGTCCTTAAGTGGATAAATGGTTAAACAAACTGTAGTATGTCTATACCATGGAATACTACTCAGCTATAAACAGGAGTAAATTACTGATCCATGCAACAGCTTGGATGAGCCTCAAGGGGGTTACGCTGAGTGAAAAAGACAATCTCAAAAGGTTATGTAATCTATGGTTTCATTTCTATAACTTGCAATATTGTATTCTTGAAGTAACAAAGTTATAGAGATGGAGAACAGATTAGTAATTGCCAGGGACTAAGGATGCTGGAGCGTTAGGGGTGATGGGGCCGTTCTGTATCTTGATACTGTGGTGGTATTTATATGAAGCTACATGTGTGATAAAATCGCACAGAACTACACACACACGTACACAAATGAGTGCACGTATAACTGGTGAAGTATGAATGAACTCTGTGTATTGTAACAACGTCAGTTTCCTGGGTTTGATGGCATATTATAGTTAGGCAAAATGTCAACATAGTGAGAGGCAGGATCAAGGAGGGGACAGGACCTCCTCATACATTTCTTTGCAACTTCCTGTAAAACTATAGTTATTTCAAAATAAAAAGTTTTTTAAAAAACTTTTATGTCCCTACATTAAATAATAAATCTAGTCTCTTGAGGTTTTTTTTTTTTCCTATCACTGTCAAGTCATTATGAATTCCTGGTCACACAGTGTTCGTGTCAGCATGCCATGACAAAAAGGTGATAGAAGTAGCCTAATATCATAATGCCGTAAAATAATATTAAGCTTATTTGAACAGGACTATGAACCAAGAAAACTCTTATCGAGGCAAGGATATTGATTGTGTGGGATTAATGCTAATAATTGTGCTTTCATTACCAAGTGAATTATATAGTAACTTATTTTAAAAGCTAAAAACATGTATTGGCTATGAATTTTAACAACACCGTAAACATTTTAAATAATAAATATTCTAAAATATATTACATCCAATACACAATGCACAGTATTATTCAGATTCTTTAAAAAGATTTGCACATTAAAATTGTTAGATTTCACGATCAAAGCGCAGAGACAGCTTTCCTAGTGAAAGGCATTGCTTAGTATTTTCTTGCTGGCAAAGTCTGCTGAATATTGAATGGCAGATATGAGTGAAATATTTCCTTCTCTTAAAGTGAATGAATATCACTTTAAGTAATCAATATTTTCAAGTTTAAATGTTCATAAATTAGGATTTCTTAAACATATCTGTTACAATAAATTTTTTTATCAAAATAAAAAATAAAAGATATTTTAGAAAAAATTAATGTTTTTACCAAGACAAAATATTTTTAACAGGAGTGGAATCAAATTAACTTCCACTTCCAAAACAATTCTTTACTGAATAGGTCTTGAACCTTTAAAATTCAAGTCCAGAATTAGGTTTAGAAATGCAGTTCACATTTTTTATTAAATTGATGAAATTAGAGATAGAATACATTTACTTGCTCATTATATTAGTCAGCGTTGTCCAGCGAAAAAGAACCAATAACTTAGCTAGCTAGATAGATAGGTATTGATTGATTTTAAGGAACTGGCTCACAAAACTGGGGGGGCTGACAAGCCTAGAATCTGTAGGTCAGGCGGTAGGCTGGAAACGTGGCAAGATTTCTATTTTACGGTCTTGTAAAAGGAATTTTACAAAATATTTTCTTCCTCAAGAAACCTCAGTTTTTGCTCTTAAGTCCTTCAACTGATTAGATAAGGCCCATCCACATTATGGAGGGTTATCTGCTCTGCTTAAAGTCTCCAGACTGTCTATGTTCACCACATCTCGTTATCTTCATAGCGATATCCGGACTAATATTCGACCAAACAATTGAGCACCATAAGCTAGACAAGTTGACACATAAAATTAACCATCACACATATTCTATTAAAAACGTTTCCTTCTTTTTGGATATATGTTTATCTGCCTTACCTAGCCTGACATTAAAAATATGTGCAGAAGGCAGGTCTCTAAAGAGAAGCCTGAGGAGAACGAACACATAATGGGGTCTTCTTAGTGGTGTATTAGAAACTATTTGGAAGCTTTGCTCAACACAATGCCTTTCTTCCTTTAGTAGGTATTATTTTATTGAGCACCTTTTAATTCTAGGGTGTCGTGTTAGACATTATGGGAGCAAGGAGTAAAAATGAATAAGTGAGGTACTATCTCTGGCCTACCATCACTTATAGTCTAATAGTAGGTTACATGTATGCATATGATCAGGACGATGTCAACGGTGCAAATTGGTGTGCGTTCCAGGAAGATGAAGGTCACTTCCCTCAGGTCAGAGAAGAGTTGCAGGCGGAGGTAGCGTTTGCGCTGTGTCAGGCAGAGTGGATGAGGATGCGGGACCTCCACGGGCTGGTGCTGAGACCGGCAAAGCACAGGGTAGGCGTGAGAGCAGTAAAGGTTGACCTGGCGGGGTTCATATAATTTCTGAAACCCTAAATTGGGACACCTGACTGACAAGTATGCAATTGTATTAATGGCAAAGGTAGGATTGAATATTTGACACCAAGGTTGCCCTAGAAGGTCTAACACCTGATTCCTATAGGTGCAGGTAGAGGGGATGTGGTTTAAAAAAAAAAACAAAAACCCTAAACCCGTTGCTGTTGAGTCAATTCTGACTCATAGAGACCCTAGAGGACAGAGTAGAACGGCCCCATAGGGTTTCCAAGGAGCAGCTGGTGGATTTGAACTACCGACCTTTTGGTTAGCAGCCAAGCTCTTAACCACTGCACCACCAGGGCTCCATGATAGGCCAAGGGTGAGTTAGTTCACCTCCACTGACTTGACTTTCCTAATCCATGTGAGAAGCATTATAGCTCCTGTTAGTTTTGAAATCTTGCTGTACTTTTTCCATGTGTTAGAATATATTTCACAAATAAGTTTGTATTGCAAATTCTTATTCTTTTGACGTCAGAAGGAAAATCATGTTGACATAATAGTTATTTTAGAGACGGTAGTGCTCACTAACAGAGTCCACCTGCTAGCCTAACCTGCTAGTCATTTTGGCAGATGGGAACTGGGTGACAGCGTGCGTGCTCCTCTACCGTGTCACTCCGACTTAACCACGGACGGACATGGTTAGGGTACGTTGCAGTGTACTCAGCCACAAGAGCCACTTTTATGGCTCTATGAATATCCGGTAAGATTTCATAGGTGCCAGGAAAAACTCCAACCTTCTTCTCTTTTCTTTTAACTGCATTCTGTTTAAAACTATGTACTAGCGTGAGAGTGGTTTTTGTCACTCAGATGTGTGTTTATTCATAAGTTTTTAAAAGCATGTAGCTATCCTTAGGGGGGAAGTTCCCATGTAAGGTCACCCTTGGAGGGTAGTAGAACCCCATTTCTTTGGTCCCAGACCATTCATTTCTCCAGGTTTTCTGTTTTGAGCAGGAACACAAAGTGAAGACAGTGCCAGACCCCTTGTGCCCCAGGCTTAGCTTAATGCTGTTTGTGCTCCCAGGCCTGCTTTCCACTCAAGGCGAGGCTGTTTGCCTTTCTCTCTCCGGACCACACTCCTGGTCCTGCTCCTCACCTTCTTGTAAGATACAGCTCTCTTCTCTGCGCTATGTTCCAGCTCACTGCTTTACTTCTTCCACAACCTCCGCTGGGCAGGCTGCTTCTGCTTCTGTCTGTATTTCTTCACTTCTGGTCTTCATTGGCCCACGTGGCTGCTATTTCTAACGTGGTGGCCACAAGGGCAATGAACCAAGCCAACCTCTTCTGGTACCCAGTCACACGCTGGAGTCAGCGCACAGCCCAGGGATGAGAGCACCAAGGAAGGAAGAGCCAGGGAGACTGTCCAGATTCTCGTGCAGATCACAGCCTCATCAATTCAGTTAATTCTGGTTGTGCAAGTTTTATAGCATTTTATCATTATTTTCTATGTATGTTTATATATTTCAATGCTGGTTTAAAGCAGCAATGCCAAGACTGGTAAAGGAAGAGCTTGATAATTATCATTCGGAAGGATAATATGCTCCATGGATTTCTCACAAAATTATGTCAAATAAAAAATCTAAGTAGATCTGTGAAGGCATATTTTTATTAAACTTAATCTAAGTAGATGGAATACTGACAGATAATTGCTGTGAAGAGTCCTGGTCTCATTTTCGGGGATAGAGTACTATTAGAATCATTACAATTTATTAATACTTTCTTCCCATAAATTTCTTAGTTTTAGACACTGCACACTTCTATTCCTTAGATCCTAGTTAATCTGCTAGAAAGGCCACCAACCAGTTCATGTTAGCACGTTTAAATTTACTTTTCTGAACCATGTTGCCAAAAAAACAATTGAAACAACATCCAGAACATTACACAGATATCATTCAGGTAGGTATTTTAAAAGCAGGTGGAATTGGCATTTAATACAATTTCAAGGCTAAAAATAGCTACTGAAAGGTTTCATGCATCATTTCGCGAATACAACCCGTTTTCTCCTTTCTTTTTCGGACTCTCTACTGACTTTAACCTTTTGGTTAGGTGTCATTATTCTCTCAGAGAAGTTATGTTGTCTTTCACCTATTAATTTTACAAAAGAAACCGAGCTTTTGGAGAAATATTTTATGATTTAGTGATGCCTATTTACAAACTTGAATTTTTCTTTACAGAAATAGCCACACTGAACAACAGTTTGACAGTGTCCCAGAGAAATAAGGTGTGCCTTGAAGAGGAAATGAAAAATCTGAAATTGCTGTCAGATGCAGCCATACTGAGATCTCAGCAGATTCACACGTCAGATCAACAGGAAGTAAACCTGCATACCAGATGCTATGATTTGCAAAAAGAAGTCCTAGGTAAAAGAAAATTATTGTTTGCGATTGGTAGCAACTAGCTATTATAAGGAAATGTCTAAAAAAATTTAATTTCTCTTACAATCCCAACAAAATCTTGTTTTAATTACTTTGTGTTGCAACTATGCCTAATTATTAGTGACTATGGCAGTAACTGGAGCCCTGGTGGCACAGTGGTTAAGAGCTCGGCTGCTAACCAAAAGGTCAGCAGTTCGAATCCACCAGCCGCTCCTTGGAAACCCTCTGGGACAGTTTTACTCTGTCCAGTACGGTTGCTGTGAGTCAGAATTGACTCAATAGTAGTGGGATTTCTGGCAGTAACAGTGTCTGATCAGTGTTTGCTATCATCAGTTTATATTCTACCATTTAGAGTGTTAAGATTTAAGTAAGTATGTTAAAGACATCTCAAGGTTAAAGTAAGATTTCGGGAGAACAAAATGGAATTTACTTTGCATATGTTATCCCCAGTAGATTGGTGGTTTAAGGTACTGAAGAAAAATACAGCATATGATGTTATATAAGGTAAATCAAGATTTTTAGGCAATGCTCCATTTTCCCAAAAAATTAAAAATTGTGTTCTGGGTAACTCGGGCGATGTTTTTAATTTCTCTGTGCCTTAGCGGAAAGAGTGTCTCGGCAGTAAGGCTAAGGAGTTTGCACTTTTTCCTGAAGGCAGTGAGGAATCACTGAGAATTGTTAATCAGGAGAATGATATAGTAAAAGCAGTGTTTTAGCAAAAATTAATCTGTTAGCAAATGAATGGAGATGTTCCAAACATCAAGAGATTGGGGCCAGGTGGCCAGTTAGAAAATACCTTTGCTGGTAACCTAGTCCCAAGGCTAACCATAAGAGGATGAAGTAGGGAAGGGAACTAACATTTCCTAGGTCCTAATTCGTGTTAGACATCATGCTAGCACTGTACATAAATTACTTCTGTCAATTGTCAGAGTGACGATGAAAAGCAGGTAAACCTACTCCTCACTTGTCAACTGTCTCGTTAATCTGACATTTCGTATTTACGACAATAGTGAGAAGCGACTCTTGGACTATTTTGAGCATTAACGATGTACCTCTGGCAGCAATGAATGCTGAGGTGTGAGGAGAGAGTAATGCTGGCTGTGATGGTCAAGGTTATGTGTCAACTTGGCTGGACCACGATTCTCAATTTGGCAGTTACATAAGGATGTAATTTGGCAGTTATGTGATGATGAGATTTGGCAGTTGTGTAGTGATGGAGTCACTCTCTGTTCTGTGATCTAATATGATCATACTCCATTTTCACACAACACCAATTTTCGCATAATGGCCTGGCCTTTGTCACCTAACCATGTTGATAAATGAGAAGTGGGTGTACAAGTATCCCATGTTACAGAGGAGAGAACCAAGCCCCAGAAAAGTAACATGCCACGCATGGTGCCGCATAGCCGATACATGGCAGGGAGGGAAAGCAAACTGTGGTAGATATTTGATCTTTCAAAAGTTTTCTGCGGTAACTTGACTACTTAAATTTTCACTTCTTAGATTAGGTTTGATTATTTAGATTTTGACAGGAAATCATCCAGTTTCTCTAAGATTTCAAATTTATAGCCACAAAGTGGCATTTAATATTCTCTTATTTAAAAAAAAAAAAAAAACTCTTCTCTATCTGTGGTTATACTTTATTTCTGATTTTTAATTTTGTCTATTTTTGTTTCATCTTTTATTATTAATTAGGCTTGCAGTGTCTTTATTTTGTTGGTTTTTTATGCTTTGTACTGCTTTTATTCTAGCACATTAATTTTTGTATATTTATTAATTTCTTTTTGGTATTTTGTTTTTATTTTTTAGATGTCTGAATATTAGTTCTTTTATTTTTCATCTGTTTTTGTTAGTAATATAGGCATTCAAGGGAATAAATTTTCTGATGAGTAAAACTTTCTCTATGTCTCATAGCTATTAATATGATCTCTTCTCCTTTTCAGTGCTCTCTAAATACTATGTAAATTCTCATTTTTTTCCTTTGATCCAAGCGTTTTTTAGGAATATATTTCTTTGTTTTGGCCAGGCACATAAATATTTATTAGAATGACCCAAATTTCATTTTCAATTCTTTTTCCTTATAAACATCATAAATCATAATCACCATCTCTTATAAGGTGTTCTACCCATTATCAGTGAAAAGCTTGTTGATGCAATCACGACTTAGCAAGAAGATTATTTCTGCTTATATGTTCTAATAGCAGATAAGATATATTTTCTATGGGGCTTTTGTTTGTTTCAAATTCTATATTTTTTTGGTAAATTATAACTTTAAAGCAATGAGTCAATTCAAAGTACAATGTTGATATTTATCTAGAAAGTTGATGGATGCGAATGCAAGTAATGCTAGAAGACATTTATCTAATATATACATACCTATTGTTATTATTAGATACACTTTTAATATATTTCAAACATTTTTATCAAAATAACATATTAAAAGCATTTGCACTAGCATGTTGTAAGTAGGAGAACATGTGTCCATTCCGGTTATAATAAATGGGTAACTGTAAGTATAGGTAATAGTCTCCATGAATTCTGTAAGCTGTTTTAGAGAATTAACGAACCCACAGGGGCAATGAGCCAGCGGGCACTGGCAGTACAGAGTCAACCTGTGTAGACCCAGCTCCAGGTGGCTGGGTGATAGAGAAAGGTGCACAGGCAGTCAATGAAGAAGGATAGAATTCTTCTAGCTTGTGACCTGGTCCCAGGGGACTAACGAGAGGAAGAGAGAGGGAGGGAGGGAGGGAGGGAGGCCAGCTGGTCTGAAGCACAGGGAGTTGTGCAGACTCCTGAGCTTACTTCTGCTCCCTAATGGCCTGGCGTTAGGTGGCCTGGGATGTTTTGCCTGGCTCAGCATAGCCAGGGGTGAGGTCTGGGTGGCCAGGGATGTTTTGACCTGCTCAGGATAGCCAGTGGTGAGGTCTGATCTAACTCTGGGTGGTCAGGGTCAGAGAGAGGACTTGCCACAGAAGAGGCTGGTGACAAGGAGTGGAAAAGTGGGAAGGTGAGGCCTGGATCCTCTTCCAGCTGGGGATTGAATTCATGCTGATCCTTGCCATGAAGTTACTGATAAAGGTGGGGTTTGCCCACCTTGCCCCTTTTATAGTGCAGTTGGTAGCACTGGAATCCTCACAGATAATAAGTCAAAGAACATGATATCTTGTATTGTATATAACAGATAGTTAAGGGTAACATAGGAAGTAATAACATTTCCATATTTGAAAAAAGAGGTGATAGTGTCTATGGGATTGATGGGAATAAAGACAAGAAGGGGACAATGGGAAGGTGCTTTCACTAACTGGGAACCCTCTCTATGCCGGTGCTGCTAAGCACTTGACTAGTGTTCTCTCATTTAGTCCTCACAGTATCCTTATGTGGAAGCTTTTATTATCTCTGTTAGGAACAGAGAAGTAGCCCGTGATCACACAGATGAATTCAAACCCAGATCTTTGGTATGCCAAAGACTGTGTTGGCTTGGGAATCATTTCAGTAAATTCCAAAAATGCACACATGGAAACACTAAACTCCTTTTCTTTTTTTTTTTAAAAAAAAGTTGTTGTCGTTTTTTTTTTTTTTTCTTACAGAAATAGACCATTAACCTAGCAAGCCTTCTACAAATTTAGACTAGGGCAGTGTTCTACAAAGTACCTGACCACAAGAGCACCTGGGGTGTGAGTGTGGGTGGGTAGGGGTAGGAAAATGCACATTTTGCACATTAGTCCAGACATATGGAATTAGATTCTTTAAGGGCCTGAGACTCTCTGTTTTTAATAGATGCTCCAGGTGGTTCTTATGATCAAGCAAGTTTGGTGCCGGCTTAAAAAAAAAAAATATGGAATGTGGGAAAAGGATGCACACGGTAGCATAGAGAAAAACTGGAAATGGCCTACATTTCCAAAAAGAAGTATATTAGTGAGGTTTCTTAGTTGCAAGCAGCAAAAAATAACTCGAAACAGCAAAGAAATTTATTGAAAGTGTTTTATCTAGATATTCAGAATCTCTTGGAAGGTAGAAGAACCTGGCTTAGAAAGTAGTTGGGAACCTAGGGGAGTTAGGCTGCCAGAATCACCGTCAAAATCGTACCCAAGGACCATGTAGTGACGATGCAGCTGCTATGGCCCCAGGACACTGAACACCTTACCTGACCTTCCTTCTCTAGTCCTGAACACTGGGTGACCCCACAGTAAATTCTATTCTGCTTCTGCTCCTTTGTGTCAATTATTCTCGGGTCAGATGTTCGGAAAAAATATTTCTTGAAAATAGTCTGTAAAAGAGGAACCATGTTGGTCAGTGTCTTAGGCTGGGTTCTCTAGAGGAGCAAAACCAGTGAAACATATATATAAGTTAACAACAAATAAACTTTCTTTAAATAACAGAATCATATACCCTTTCAAAATTTAGAGAGACTTAATTCAAGGAAATGGCTCATGCAGTTGCGGAGTCTGGCCAGTCTCAAAGTCCGTGGGTCAGGCATCAAGCTGGAGGCTTCTCTTAACTCACGTGGTTGCAGGGGCTGACGAACCCAAAATCGGCAGGTCAGATGGCAGGCTGCTGGCTCACACGGTTGTGGGAGCTGGTGAATCCCAAAAACCAAAGGTCAGGTAGCAGGCTGCTGGCTCACATCCCAGAAGGTCAGATGATGATGAGTTGGGTGCAGGATCCAGAGTGAGAGTGAGCCTTGCTGGAACATCCATTTACATACTGGGCTACACCACCAAGGAAAATCTCTTTTCAACTAATTGGCTGCTCATAGCAGATCTCATCATGGAAGTAGGTTATATTCTATCAGATCTCGTCAGGAAGGTCATTGCATTATATTACATTTTGAAAGAGCAATCAGTTCAATGTCTGCCAAACCACTGAGAATCACAGCCTGGCCAAGCTGACACTTAAGCATCACGGTCCACCTGTTGTTTTTATTGTAGTCAATTGTCGTCAAGTCAGCTCTGACACAAGGTGACCTTATGTATAACAGAACAAAA